AAGTGTCAGTGACAAAATCCTAACCACAACTGGCTTTGTAACACAACATGGCTGGTTTTATGGGATAGGATGAAAATATTTGTGATTTTTATATTAATTAAAAAATCATTTTAAAAGTTAAAATTTTACATACTGTAGAATAAGTAAATGTTTCAAGGAGCACAATGTTGGAGTAATCTGAAAGTTTGAAAACACAGCCTTGGAGCCTAAGGAACAGGAGGGGAGGACAAATGTCTACTGTTCATGGTTGCTATTTGTCTATATTCCTCTAGCTGTGTGTCTGACAAGAAGCTGTTGGAATAGTCATAATGGCCCAGTTCCTGTGGGAACTTTCTAAGAAAAGTAGGCTTGAGCAGCTGTTGGTAAACAGAATTGTATTCTTTCCTTTCCTTTATATTTTATTTCAAAGAACTATAAATTAAGACTTTCCACAATAGGAAAAGGTTCTTAAGTTTTGCTTTGTAAAGAGAAAGTAGGCTAATGAAGTTATATATCATTTGAGAGTCAAATAATGTTAAAACATTTGATCATGTCCTATCACAGTTCTGAGTTTACAATACAAATTTGGTAGCAATTTACTGATTAGGACTGGATTATCTGTACCAATTATCCTGGTGAAATGTGTCCAGATCTCTAAGTTTCAGAGAAAACCTGCTCCAGATATAGGGAACACATCAATTGACATGTATAGCACCAGTCATGGTGGTGCTATACTTCTTGCCAATAAGTGATTCAAACAGGGATATGTGATAGGGTTCTAGCCAGTGAACTAAATAGGGTATCCTGCTAAATCTCCTGGAAGAGGTTCCCTTGATTCCAGAATAGACCCATGGGAGGAAATGGCATTTCATCCTCTAGAAATCATGGTATGTGAATGTGATATGTGGATTTGCAAAGCCATTTTGAAGACAGTGGGATGACACATATATATCAGAAAACCAAGGAAAGAAAAGGACTGATTCTTTGGTGTGGTTACTGAATGGATGAATTGCTATTTCTGGATGTATATGAAGCTATATACTTAGTGTTAGGATGCTTTGAATACAGTTTTCTAGTTTTCATAGGATGGCAAGATTTATCATATGAAAATGTAGGCTGTGCAGACAGAATTTCAGATAGACATTGAATAATGTTTTAGTTTATTGGATGTCTAATGTGATGTTTATCTAATGCAATATTTAGGACATGACTACCAAAAATATTTGTTGTTATTTAAAATTTAAAACTAACTACAAGTCTTTTATTTTATCTGGCAACTCTAAATGTAACAATAAAATGAAATCTTCTTAACTCAATAATGAAAAAATTTTCTCGTTATGTTGCTCAAACTGGCCTCAATTTTGTGATCCTCCTGCCTTAGCCTTCCAGATTACTGAGATTATAGGTACATGTCTTCACATCCGGCTGAGTATGTGTATCTGAAATCCAACTTCCTATTTATGAGTCCCAGTAAAAGTTTCCAGAATACTTTTTCTTGAAGTTGATTAATGAATCCCAATCTAGATTTGAAATTTTTGTTGTAATATAAATTAACAGTGGCAAGAGTTAAACAGATCTTAGTTAGAAACAGGACTTCTTTACTCACTGTCAATGTGGGCCTGGAGAAATCAAATAGTTATCAGTGTTTCATTATGTGGTCTGAGGAATTAATAAGTTTCATCTTGAGAAGCAGCTACCGTGTATGCACATCAAACTTGTGCAAAACCTGTTAGTTCTCTTTCCTATAGTGATTGCAAAGAACTTGCATGTACTTACCTGGGGTTTTGTGCTAATCAATGGAAATTCATTTATGTAACCTAACTCCTTTCCTCTTACAACCTAGGTAGAAAGAGTGCAATATGTACAAAAGGGGTGATTCATGGAGAAGCTTGCCTTACTACCTTACCACATAGCTGAGTTTTACCAATGATTACCTAAAAGATTGTTCTAAATGCTTATCTTATTATTATTATCTTATTATCAAAGATAAAGAAAATCCAGTTGCACCTTATCTCAGGTAGCAGGGACTTACCAGTTTTAGCATCCTCAGCATGAGATGTAGTGAGTGCCTCAATACAAATGGGGAAGCACATATTGCCCGAGGATGGTTCCCTGTCCCGTGGACGATGAACAGATCATACAATCTTCCTAAAGCTTTGCCCCATGTTCAAACTGTTAGGACGCCAACATTGCTAACTTTCTACCCTTTTTTAGTGCATAAAAAGCAGTTCTCACTGAGAAAAATATAGAGGCTGCAGAATGACAGCTATGATGTCAAGTTTTATGATCCCGGAGAGGGGAGAACTGGAGAGGGAGGGAATAGTAGTTGCAGAGCTGTAACAGGGAGGGAGGCTTGCTCAGGCTGTGAGTGCAAAGGGCAGAGCTACAGTGGAGGGATAGAAAGGAAAGAGAATTACTGGCATGTTTAAGCCATCAAAACTGCTCCATATCATCGGGCTGTAAATATGGTAGAAGTCCTGTTTAGATACTGATTTGCAAATTGATGACCATTATCAGGAATATTGGAGTAGTACTACAGCTGTTTTTTTCCTAGCTTGCAAAGTGGGAATAGATATTCGAATTTATCACCTCCTAAGTGAGAGATTTGACCCAGTTAAACCTAATGAGGGTTTTTAACTAATGTTCAGGCATCAGTAAAGTCCCAGTTGCAGTAGATTTTCATGCTGCTATAGACTGGAAATACCTTGGGAGTTTGAAAACTCTGGATGCCAGCCACACCTGCACTGATTAAGTGGTAGAGCATCACTAGAGTATTGTAGTTTCTTTTTTGAAGCTCTCCAGACTCTAGGACACAATAATTTTGAGAACCCCTGAAATAGTCTATTGATTCTAGCTTGTTGTATGGATTCTGATTTGATTGACAATGTAATGTTAAGCAACTGCTTTAGTTTTTCTCAGCTCCATATTCCTTGTCTATGAGGAAGAGAGGGGCAAATATACTTCTAAATCACTCACTGTAAAGTTTCTTTATTTGAGAGCGCCTGACCCTAAAAGGTTTATGAGTTAAGGAAGAGGCACTTACCCATCTCTCAGAGATAAAGAGGCCTCTGTTCTAAGACTAGAGAATTAACAGCATTTTTCCCCTACTATCATCGCAGCAGTTAAATCCACATAGAGTGTGCAGGAACACTCTCAGGTGCTCGTTTGCTTCATTCACCTGTGTAAAGCAGACCTGCACCATAACGTAAGCACAAACCAATGCACAAGAAAGGCTTCTGTTTTTCTCCATTACTCCAACTGTACTGTTATCACAGTGGGAGTCATCTGACGTGTGACTGGACAGATTTTTTTTTTAGCGTTCTGCAGATGACTATACTTTGTTACCCTCTTTTGGGCTTACTGTTTCACATACTACACTTAGTGGTTGCTTACAATATCTTCCTAGACTAACCCTGGCCACTCGTGTTGTCTATTGATGTTCACTTTAGTTTTACTCAAACAAGACAATGTATCTCATTGCCATTCTGATCATACAGCAACTGACATTCGGTCATGATGGATATAGTGCTATAATATTTTTTTCTGCAAGAAAATGTACAGCTTGTATTTCAGCTAATTCATATCTGTTGCTAAAGTTTTGCCATACAGTGTATATAAAATATTATAGAAATGCCTGCTATTTTGAGGTATTAAGACACGAATACATCCACTGATTTCCTTTTTAAGCACGGAATCTCTGACTTGTAAAGGGGAAGATCTGTTTGGAAGGATAGTCATCTATTGTTGCTTTGACACTTGGTAAATTTCTATTTTTGGGGGAAAATGCAGTTTTCCCACTACTTTGCATACAGTTCAAGATAAATAGCCAGTTAAAACAGTCTTATCCAGAGATAATTTTGGAAATGTTGAATTTCTTGTGAAAGAGTTAAAAATGTTCTTTCTTCTTATTCTGGATATTACACTGGACAGGTTTACTCCGATGTTTGGGGAAGTACTATTAGTGCAATGTGGAAGAGGGAAAGAAAAAAAAATTTTAACATCAGGAACCCTCAACAAATCAATAAGAAGGTTCATAGGGCACCATGTTAATGACAAATCACAGGAGGTGGCTCCATAAAGGTTGTGAAAACTAGTTTCTCATTGCAGGAATTGGGCTGGGCCACCCATTTACCCCCCTTCTCAAACACAAATATTTTCATATAATAAAAGCCTGTTTCCCTATGCTTATTACCCAGCCTCCACTCCTCCGACACCACCATTTTCCAGCCGCGGACTTCTCCGAAGTTTGTAGGTTTTTATGTCTTTCCGGACTTTCCTGTAGAAGTGAGGGGGTCCCTTCAGGGTGAGAGGGACAAGAAACACCCACTAGGACCCAACCCCGGCAGTCGCGGCCGAGCATGCGCTGAGGGTTTATGCAGCTGGCCCAGGCGGCCACTGCTGCCTAGTCCGGGACTTGGCGAGGGCTTGGGAGGGACAGCGGCGCTGGGAGGTGGCTTAGCAGAGACTTTCCAGCAACTGCTGCCCAGGACTTTTTTTTTTTTTTTTTTTTTTCTTTTTCCCAGGAGGCGGCGACGGCGGCGGGGCGGTGGGGGGAGAGGAAGAGAAGGAAGCGTCTAGAGCTTTAGCCAGTGCAGCCCCGTGTCTCTCCGGGGGCAGCGTCCGTACCCCGATGAGTCCTCGCCGTGCGTCCCCGAGGATTCCCCGGCGGGAGCGGGGCGCAGAGCCCAGCGCGGACGGTGAGTGGCCGCGCGCCTCGCGTCTTCCTGCCCGCTGTCCCGCCGGCCCGCCGCGGCTGCCCCTGCGCTGAGCTGCTGGGCTGCTCGCTCCAAGGCTGGCGGCGGAGCCCGGCGCCCGCGCTTCTCCCCGCGCCCTGCCGGGGGCGCACGGCGTAGTAGCGGTGGCGGTGGCCCTGGCGGTGTGGGGGATCGCGCCGGCTTTGTGCTCGGCGGGCGGCTGCTCCGGGCGCCGGGTCGCCCTGCGTCCAGGCCCGGGGAGGGGGGTGTGGAGGACCAACCTGGCGTCTGCACAGCTGCACGGGCCCTAATTCCCCAACGTCCCCGCCTCACCCCCCGCCCAGGGCTAATCCACCAAGCTGGGTTGGGAAACATCAGTTCTCACGTTCACCCAGAGAAACCCTCGTGCAGCTGGAATCCCACCCCTTCGCGCCCACTCGCGAGCTGCGGGACCCGGTAGGGCAGCAGGGAGTTGGGGCTCTTGAGCGGTCCCGAGGAGCGAGGCACCCGCGCCCTCAGGCTCGCTGGTGGCGCCTGTGACGTCTTCAGGACTAGTGGGGTTGCTAACCTTTAGGACCGTTCCGAGCAGAGCTGACCCTGAGGAGGGGCGTGGGCCGAGGGCGGTTTTAAGGAACTTGGCATGGCACCTCAGAGGGCCCTCTCCGCGCGTCCCCGCAGAACGCGTGCACTCAGCTCTTTCATTCATCCCCAGTCAGTCTTTTCTCTTCTCAGCAGGTGTTATCTGAAGCCACTTTGGAACTTTTGAGAGTTTAGTTTCTATTATGACTTTTAACAAATGAATTTCGATGAAGCGATGTCTCCAATGAACTAGACTTTGAGACTTTGTGCACCCCGCCGAGGGCTGGCGCAGGAGGGCTGGGCTGGCCTTGGGGGGCGCGGAGCTGACGCGGGCCCTTTTCTCCTCTGTGACCTGCAGAGAGCAGTTCCTTTGCCCGTGGCTGTAGGATGTGGTGAAAGGATGGGGCTTCTTCCTCCTGAGGCTCACAATGGCCAGAGAGGATTCCGTGAAGTGTCTGCGTTGCTTGCTCTACGCCCTCAATCTGCTGTTTTGGGTAAGTCAGACAGTTCCACTGCCCCAACAGGTGAGGACGGCTGGACCCAGTTTTCTGCAGCCACCAGATAATGCGCCGAGAGGCATGCCTCAGCAATAATTAATTACATGGAATCACACTCTCTATTTGTCAGAGGAGAGTATTTGACCTTCTTAAAATGTCTTTGATCTAGCTCAAGTTCTATTTGTAATTAGAAGTAAAGAAATGCGCTTCTGCATACTAGTGTCAGTAAAATTAGACCTGGAGTTAATCTAGGGATTTATAAATAAATGCACGTGCTTGCGCTGGGTAGATAAGAAAATTATGACGTACTACTTAGGGAACCTCTTGTTTGCAGGAGTGTTAGGTAATGTGCAAGCCATAAATTTTTTTTCTTATGTCACCCTAGCCATAGAAATTGGTTGGTGAAAGCAGTCTTTATATGTTTTTGTAGGAATTCTTACCTAGATAGTCTATCCAAATACTGGATAGATTCTTCTAGGGAATTCCATACAAGTCTGAAAAGTGACTTATATGTAAGTATTTCTTCTAAGTTGGCAAAGTTTAATTTTGTGTATGCCCTTGGAAAATTTCATAATTAAAGAAATAAAATATAAAATTTTTTATGCCCTATGAGTGATTTTTTGTGCTCCATACCTGTGCAAAATTTTCATAAAGTGTTATTAATAGTCACATTATCATTTATAAAGTTTAGGAAAATATAAAACTGGAACTCTGAAATTTATTTCAGAAGGCTAACACTCAAGCAGTTTTTTTTTTTCTTTTTAAAAAATAGTCAGTAATATATATTCAAAAATTTCTGCTAAAAATTATAGGGGGCAGTTAGTTTATCTGATTGATTGACTGGCATCAACCAGCTCTTTTTTCCGAAGGCGGAGTTATACATGATTTCTAGAGCATAACATTTTGTTAAATTGTTTCTTATGGATGGTATCATTTTAAGGTGACAAAGTAGGTTTTAGTTCACAGAATAATCTGAAAGACATCTAAAACGGCAACTTTATTTTTTTCTCAACCTATAAAACCATTGAACAGTCAGATTCATCAGTTGAAAGTATTAAGCGATCTTTTTGTAGTTTCTAAATTACTGCTTATTAAGATTTTGAACTTAGTTTCTTTTAAAATGTATAATTACTCTTTCTACTTGCTAATTTTTCACTTGTCTACGTGATGTTTTTTTAATTATAGCATCATCACATCCTATCACTAAAAGGAACTTTAAAGATGGCCTGGTTGAACTTCCTTTCTTTGTGAATGAGGAAATTAAGAGCAAGTTAAATGACTTGCCAAAGGTCAAATATTCTAATGGGGATGGTGCCAGGAACAAAACTCAATTTTCTTGCATTTAGATAGTGCTTTGAATATGTAGCCTTGTTTAATTCTGAACCTTGACATCACTAAGATTTTTTTGTTCTTCAGTTAAAAAAAAAAATGAAGCTTTGGGAAATTTCTTAACAATTTGTATTGTGCCAAGAGAAAAATCTCCAAATCATTTAATGAAACTATTACTCTTCTGAAAAATGAAAATTTTCAAAACCCTTCCTTAAACTCCTCCAAGGTTCTTTGTGTCCCCAGAGAAAGAAAAAATGTTATTTTTTATTGGTATACTACACTTCAACTCTCTAACTTTGCATGTGTGTGTTCTGCTTGTTGATTTATTTGGATGGCTTCCCTCTTTCCACAGCCCTCCTCTTCTCCCAGGGTCACCGCCTTTCCAACCTCAGAGGAGCTGAGGTTTGCCACTAATGCGCTGCCTCTGTATTTTAATTCACTTCATACCCAGTTAGGGTTACTCATACCTGTTCACCTTTATCATTTTCATTGATATGCTTCCATGATTTTTCTTTTTGTTAAATTGTTTCCTCCATTGGGCTAGTCTTAGGGATGGCATTGCCATGTCAAAAGATATATAAAGACACCACAATAACAACAAAACAAAAAACAGCTAATCTATACAGCTAACATAAAAATAGCTCACCATTATTACTGATTTCAAGACATATTCAGTGTTTGTTTCCTAAGTCTTTAAAATAGGCATAATTTCTGCTTTGCAGAGCTGTTGTGAAAATTAGAATCAGCTATGTAGAGCACTGAGGCGGGGCACAAGTGCTATCTATGTAGTGGTACTCTGTGCAGCTTTTATTTCTATAGTATTGATAATCTCAAATAGATTACCAGGAGGTAGGTTACTACTGCCTTTGTGCTAATAATATTAACAATTGTTATTGTTGTGGTTAGCAGTGTTGCCCCTGCAACCACTATTACAGTTCATTTGGTCTAGCAGCCTTATCCTGGAAACCTAACCCTTAGTAATGAAAACACAAAAACACATTATATGTGTACAGGAGTATTTGTTGTTGTGTTTTTGGTGTGATGTACGTTTTAGTTGTTGCCAGTCTGGAAAGTTTAAAGTGTCGTCTCTCTGTCTCTTTATTTTGTATCTGCCCTATTACCAGTGAGCATGAGCTTATGCCCTGTTTATGTACATATAAGATATGTACACATTTATATATATATATATATATATATGTAATATAAGATTTTATTTCATATTTCATATTCATTGACTGTTTCATAGTTATAACTTAGGTTTGCCCTACTCGTTGTTGGTTTCCTTTGTGTTATTTGCTGCTATACAATAGTTATTTCTTTATTTATTTTAATAAAAGTTCTCGCTATGTCCTTAGCCTGGTCTTGAACTCACTGTTCAAAGGCTAGCTTTGAACTCTTGGCAATCTTCCTGCCTCAGCCTCCCAAGTGCTGGGATTACAGGCATGTATCACCATGCCTGGACTATTGACATTTTTATATGTTCTTTTTTGATATAATTTTTCTATAGAACTATATATATTCATTTATATTTTATATTTACATTTCTTGTCTTGGATAAGACTTCAAGAATATTTTTTCAGGCTGGGGATTTAGCTCAGTGGCATAAGCATCTGCCTGGCAAGTGCTAGGTTGTGAGTTTGATCCCCGGTACCAAAAAAAAAAAAAAAAAAAAGAATGTTTTTTTAAATTAAAGGTATCTACTGGAATTTTTATTGTAAATGTATGAATATTCATACTCATTTTGGGAAAATGAGCACTAGTTTTCAAGACTAGAGCAATGTTTTCTATTTTACTATCAAGTAGAAGCAATTTTTACCTTTCTGGGAATGGTCCTTAGAATCCTTACATTTCTCTCTCATCTGATTCTCCTAACAACCCTATAAAATAGTTTTTCTTATTTCTCTTTCTTTAGGTAAAGAAACCAGTATTCAGAAATTTAGTAAGTACAGAACAGGGATTCAAAGTCCAGTTTTATTTTTTGTTCCAGGGTAGTTGAAGTCATATTGCTGGGAACAGTGGAGAATGTACTTGAAGAAGCCAAGTAAACATCTTTAGCAGGAAGGATTAGCTGTCCACTCGTTCATTCCAAGTCCTCCAGAGGAGGACTTCTCAGTCAGTGTGCCTGTAATCACCTGAACATCCAGCTGAAATGCACATTGGGATTTGGTGTGTCACTGGCTGGCATGGAAGTCAGCATTTTTTTCAGTGTTGTAAGTTGAACACATAGCCTCATCAATGTCAGGCAAACTAGGCAAGTGCTCTGTCACTGAGCTACATCCCCAGCCCTCAGCGTTTTAAGCCAGCTCCTTTGTAATGCTGATGCTTCTAGTCTGAGCTGCAACCCTCCACCAAAAAGAACCAACAGAAAACTAGGAGCAAGACTTTCATATCCACTTTTAATTCTCATTTGAACTGGACTTCACATCTTGATTAAGACAAAGTCTGTCTCTCAAGTGTGCAAGATTGACAGAGCTGCCTTTCCACCCATAGGGTCAGAAACTGGTGCATCTCATTTTTTATTCTGCATTTTAATTAATGTGTTCCTATCTGTTTCTATGATACTAGTACCCATTTCCTTCTCCACTCCATTGGAATTTTATAGAAGAGTAAAGTCTAATCAAGAGCATAGTGCGAACTCATACAATTTTGCTTTGCCTTGTGGGAGCTGAAAATAAAATTGAGTAATTTTTTTTTCCTTTCTGAGTAAAAAAGTACATCTTGAGTATTTTTTTTTTTTTCTTTTTTGGTATCGGGGAATCAAACTTACAACCTCACACTTGCCATGCCCCATGTTGAGTATTTTTAAGTGGGAGGCATTGATGTGTTTTTAGAGGGCATAATCTGGAGCACATTCAGGATCACAAATGCTCTGGGTCACTTGTTGTGGATGCACCACCTTGATTTACTGTCTGTTAAGCTCTGTTGAGTGTCTCTGCCCTGTTATGATGAAAGACATACCTAGTACAATAATGTGCTGGCAGCAGGCATACGTGCTCTTTTTTAAAAAAAATTTTTTTGAGACAAGGTCTTACTATGTGTGGTCCATGCTGTCTTTGAAATCAATAATCCTCCTGCCTCAGCTTCCTGAGTGCTAGGATTACAGGCCCATGAAGCCACACGTGGTGTCTAAGAGCTCTTTTGCAATCATGATTCACATTCTATCTGTACTGGAGCAACAATGTGACATTATCATTACTTCAAATTTACTGCACTTTTACTACTAGAATGGCTTATTATTTAAAGAAATGAAAGCTTTCCTATGTTTTAAAGATAATTTTTGTAGCTTCATGAATGCTCATTATTCTTGGATATTAATTTTCTGCTGTTATAAATAGGAATAAAATGGTTCTCTTAGGAAATTTCTGAAACTAACATTTATCAGATTATGTTTGTTTATAATTTCTTGAAAATTCGATGCCCTGTCTGCATTTCTCCATTTTCTTACTACATGTAATAGGTTTTTTTTTTTAACTTACCATTATTAAAGGGAGTAGCAACAGAGAGGATCTGTCCTCATTAAATATTTAAAGAAACATAAAACAAAGTCTAAAAAAGCAGGAATCCAGCTCATGTTTTGGGGATACGCGTGAGGTAGATGAAACAATAGACACCATGTTCTGCTGCTTTTTTCTGTGGTGCTCAGTAACTTGTCCCTTGCAGACCCCGAA